AGGAATTCACTTTCATCAGTTTAAAAACATAGAAGTCAACCTTTAGACCTTAGTCTTCATAAGGTGAATGGGCCCAAGTGTCTGATATAGTTCACTGCGGCCTCATGGTGACTTAATTACATTAAAAGCACCTCCGATATCATTATGCATCGCATTATTATGCTGAATGACAATGCCAGCATAACAAACATAATATTTGCATTGACACTGTGCTTTCAGACGCATTGGAAATATCAGGCAGTCCACAGACAGATGGTCACGGAGCACGTCGGTGTCATGTTTATTCAAATGATATCATCCAGAGACTCCACACCTGCCATAACTGGACTGCTCAATTCAGGAGATAGCAATGTGCACACAGCCAGTGGAATACAGACGGTTTGTCGCCCCCTGGGCTCGTGCAGTGGAGGAGATCTTTGTGGGCTATACTTTGTGGGTGGGGTTATATCCTGCCTGGTTGGCCCTGTCTGGGGGTATCGTCGGACAGGGCCACAGTGACTCCCGACCACCACTGTGTCAGCCTCCAGTATCTATGCTGCAATAGTCTATGTGCCGGGGGCTAGGGTCAGTCTATTATTTTGCTTTTTTTATTTTTTTACTTATCTATTTTTTACTTAACACTTTTTTTTTTTTTTTTTTATTCTTAAAACTGCATTTTTGGTTTAAGGGCTTGTAAGTAAGCATTTCACTGTAAGGTCTACACCTGTTGTATTCGGCGCATGTGGCAAATACAATTTGATTTGAATATCTGGTATTATTCTCCTGTCTTATCTGATGTCCTGTGTGAATTTAAGTAGGCTCCCTCTAATTCTCTCTCTCTCACTCTCCCTCCCCTCCCGGAGGACATGAGGCCTAGGACCATGCCTCAGGACTACCTGGCCTGATGACTCCTTGCTGTCCCCAGTCCACCTGGTCGTGCTGCTGCTCCAGTTTCAACTCTTCTGCCTGTGGCTATGGAACCCTGACCTGTTCACCGGACGTGCTCTCTCTCTCTACCGCACCTGCTATTTCAACCTCTAAATGCCCGGCTATGAAAAGCCAAGTGACATTTACTCCTGATGTACTGACCTGTTGCAACCTCTACAACCACTGTGATTATTATTTGACCCTGCTGGTCATCTATGAACATTTGAACATCTTGGCGAAAAATCTGACCTTAATGGCCATGTACTGTTATAATCTCCACCCAGCACAACCAGAACGAGACTGGCCACCCCTCAGAGCCTGGTTCCTCTCTAGGTTCCTTCCTAGGTTTCTGCCTTTCTAGGGAGTTTTTCCTAGCCACCGTGCTTCTACATCTGCATTGCTTGCTGTTTGGGGTTTTAGGCTGTGTTTCTGTATTGCACTTTTTGACATCTTCTGATGTAAAAAGGGCTTTATAAATACATTTGATTGATTGATTGATGGTAGTGTATGGAGCAACAACTGAAGCTAAAAAAGACAACTGCAAGGCACCCGACCGCAAGGTGCTACAAAGGGTGGTGAGTACGACCCAGTAAATCACTGGGGCCGAGCTCCTTGCCATCCAGGACCTCTACACCAAGCAGTGTCAGAGGAAGGCAAAATAATTGTCAAAGACTCCAGCCAGCCAAGCCATAGACTGTTCTCTCTGCTGCCGCATGGCAAGCGGTACCAGTGCACCAAGTCTGGAACCAACAGGGCCCTGAACAGCTTCTACCCCCAAGCCATAAGACTGCTAAACAAGACTGCTAAATAGCTAATCAAATGGCTACCCACTGCTGCTACTGTCTATTATCTATCCTGTTGCCTAGTCACTTTAACCCTTCCTATATGTACATAGCTATCTCAATTACCTCGTACCCCTGCACATCGACTCGGTATTGGTGCTCCCTGTATATAGCCATGTTATTTTTACTCATCGTTATTCGTTTTTCACTGTGTATTTATTCCTCGTGTCACTATTTCTATTTTTAACTTTGCATTGTTGAAAAAGGACCCGTAAGCATTTCACTGTTAGTCTGCACCTGTTGTATACGAAGCATGTGACAAATACAATTTGATTTGATTTGGAAGGGAGGAAACTAAGGCCTGGCTAATTTAAAGCAGACCCTTGGATAACCGATGGAGCCTTTGTGAACAAAACAAGAGACAAAGCTGAAGTGTACTAACAGCCTAAGTCAACCTGTATGTCTGCTCTTAAACTGCTCCTATATGTGACTTTTTCAAAGCACTGTATGAATGCAACAAGAAGGAAGAGTTAGCCTAGGCTGTGGCATGTGATGTGTAACACTTCGATGTAACCCAGAGACAGAGAGCCCTGGTGGGCTTATGGGTTAGCACTCCCCTCTAGTGGAGTAAGACAGAACACTGTACCAAAGACAAAGGGATGGGAAGGGGTGAGATTTGTCATCAGTCTCTGACAATGAGGGAGCATTCCTTTACCCTCCACACCTTTCTGCAAGACAGTGATTAAATAAGAGGACCTTAATTACCTTCTTCTGGAAATCTTGCTTAAACTCCCGGCAGACCCTAGTCAGACTAACACAATTAGCAGCTGCCCACATTGCCACCACTCCAGTTCAATACTTTAGGCATTCACAGAACCAAACAGAATCCTCCCTTTTTACATCACCCTGATTTCTTTGCATGTGTTGGGTATCGTTAAAATATTCTAGACAGGAACGACACATTGGATTGGCCTTTAAAGTCTTCTCCTTGTACTGTCATTTTCTCAGAGCAAAGTGAGTGTCACTTGAACAAAGAGGGGATTAGGCCTGGGGAAAGAGGAGGAAGAATAGAGTGTGAGAAAAATATGTACTGGCTGAAGAGTGAGCAAGAGAGCACCACCGCAGAACAACAATGTCATTGGTATCACCTTACACAGTGATCGATGCACCAACCAGCTGCCCCTATCCGCTCTGCAGCCTGCCCTGTCCTTGGCCACACTGCATAAGGTGACATCCTCAGAGGACAATATAGAGTAGGGAGGGATAGCTGGAGACGAGGGTCAACATGATAGTCTGAAAGACCACTCACCACAACCGCAGACTGACAAAGGGTCAACGGATTCCCTGCCGTGACTCTGTATTCAAGCAAGTTGCAGTTCTGCCGTTCAACACAGCTAGAAACAAAATCTGTGTGTTATTATGAATACTAATACCTTTATACCAGCCGGTTTTTGCAGAAAAAACATTTTGATATCAATTAGCCTAACGTTCTACATTTTAAAAAACATGTTTAGTCATTTAGCAGACGCTCTTATCCAGAGCGACTTACAGGAGCAATTAGGGTTAAGTGCCTTGCTCGAGGGCACATCGACAGATTTTTCACCTAGTCGGCTCTAGTCAGCATAACGTTCTAGTCAGCATATTGACATTGACAAATTGAGTTTCACCAAGCTTCCAAACAATCTGTATAATTTTCTTGTCCAATAAGCACAATCAAATTACTAACAGCAGGTTGTTAAGAAACAAAAAACATACAGTATCAATCACAATCCATCTGACTGAAATACATTTGGCCCTGTCTCTGTATAGTCAGTCAGCAGATTGGCCTGGCCTACATCAGAGACATTAATTATGACAGATGTAGTCCTAGGAGAGCTAGAGGTGAACAGTGTCGCGATGCTTAATGTGTGGCTCCATGCTAAATGTCATACAATAAATCTATGTCTGGAGGCTGCATGCAGTCACTGGCTTAAATTCAATTAATATCACTCAATGGTGATTTCTCAACCAGGATGCCCTACTTACTGATCACCATCCATTCGGCTGTGTGTCCTTGATGAGAAAAGGCTGGATTGAGACAAGTAACTGTGTCCTTTAACACTAGGCAAACTGCTATCCTGATCCACATCAACTAACTTCTCTATAGCTACAGTATTCACAACTTCCTAAGCTCCATTTATGTTGGTCAAGAGTCGACACAATTAAAAACACAACATAGAAAGATATGTCAGGAGGATAAATTGACCATTTACAAAACAATGTGCAGATAATAACCAGTCCACTTGAAAACGGTTTCCTCCACTTGGTTTCTGTGGAGACCACAATAGGTCCATAGACAGTGATGGAGGAGAGCAAGAAATGAGGGGTCAGGTAGGGTGAACTACAACACTTGTCCTGCCACTTCACTTCCAGGAAAGATGCTTCACTGGCACTCATAACACCTCTCCACAGCCCTCAACAATGGCCCACAATACCCCACTCCACAACATTTTAAAGGAACTATTTAATATAGCAGCTTGCGCTTGACTATAGGGTATTACCTGCTCTGAAAGTGGGCAAGGACAAGTCATAGTATAAGATAAAAGGGGGGGGGGGGGGGGGGGGGATATTACATCTAAACTTAGTTGGAAAATAAACTGTCTTCTTTCAGAATCAGAGTATCATCAAAGAGGTCTATCTACCACAAGTGAAGACATCTGAGGAGATATGTTTACAGGTTGGTCAAGGGTATGTTGTTGTTTACGTGGGCTACATGCTTCAAGGCATCTGAATACTACAATTAAATGCAGGCTTTTGTGAATCCCGGCAGCTTGTCTAGATATACTCTAACACCGAATCCCAGAAATTGCTAGAATAAATATTCAGAGAAACAAGAACAGCAAAGCTAATAGGAGCCTGACATCTAGTGGTAAACTCAGGCTACACAGGTAAAACTCATTCACCTTTACCTAGCATTACAGTATGATTTCCAAGCTGTAAATTACTATGTCTGTGGGTTAGCCTACCTGTTGATTAGCTTTGGAGAACAGTTAGGGGTCCAGCCCATACACACCAGAGCAGCACAGTCGGAGCCGAGGTTAAGCATCAGACCTGCCTCTTCTACTAGAATGAACATTCGCCCAATCTGGTTCAAAGAGCCCTGCAATACAACAAGGAGAGATACACTCAGGACAATTCTCTCTAAAATACCACATAATTCTTGGATAGTTCTACATGCCATAGAAATACAAGAGTGAGCAGCACTTACTTTCTTGGCCCAGACTCTCATCATAATGTTGAAAAGTCCTATGTTGAGCAGCTTGCGCTGGCTGATCATGCGGTGGTGGCTGAACAGGAGCGGTGCGCTCGGTCGATGTTCCCACAGCATACACAGGCCTCCAGGTAGCACTGCACACTATGCTGGATGTCCCCGTACACCCTGGCCTCGCCGTTATCCTGCCCGTGCTCAGGGTTGGCCGACACAGCCCACTGGTTGAGCTTTGTCTCTAACTCCTCCACCTCAGCCAGCTCCAGGGCCCTTGCCTCGGAAACTGAACTATACACACCATAGGAAGGCTTTCTCTACTGTGCTATACACACCCAGAGGGGACAATATAGGAAGGCTTTCTCTACTGTTTTCAATTACCATAATACAGTAGGTCAGGGGTACTCAAATACTATTTGAGAAGGTCAGGTAACACAAATGTTCTAGGGGGCAAAGGTCCGGATGGATATTGTCATTTTATCGGCGTAGTAACAAACCCCCACCTCGCAACCCATGCAAACCCAAACTGTTCACATCCCTCTTGTTGGCAGAGAGAAAACAATGGCAGTTTTAAAGCTAATTTCCTGCAATTTGACACATTTTACATGTCTTATACACTGAGTGTACAAAACATTAGGAACACCTTAATATTACGTTGCACCCCCCTTTTCCATTCAGAACAGCCTCAATTCGTCGGGGCATGGACTACAAGGGGTCGAAAGCATTCCACAGGGATACTGGCCCATGTTGACTCCAATGCTTCCCACAGTTGTGTCAAGTTGGCTGGATGTTCTTTGGGTGGTGGACCATTCTTGATACAGAGGGGAAATTGTTGAACGTGAAAAACCCAGCAGCGTTGCAGTTCTTGACACACTCAAACCAATGCGCTTAGCACCTACTACCATACCCCGTTCAAAGGCATTTCAATCTTTTGTCTTGCCCATTCACACTCTGAATGGCACACATACATAATCCATGTCTCAACTGTCTCAAGGCTTAAAAATCCTTCTTTAACATATTCCTCCCCTTCATCTACACTGATTAAAGTGGATTTAACAAGTGACATCAATAAGGGATCATAGCTTTTACCTGGATTCACCTGGTCAGTCTATGTCATGGAAAGGCCCCGTGTAGCTCAGTTGGTAGAGCATGGCGCTTGCAACGCCAGGGTTGTGGGTTCGATTGCCAGGGGGGCCAGTATGAAAATGTATGTACTCACTAGCTGTAAGTCGCTCTGGATAAGAGCGTCTGCTAAATGACTAAAATGTAAAAAAAAAAAAATGAAAGAGCAGATGTTCCTAATGTTTTGTATACTCTTGTGCAAATATACTAATTAATCAAATTAACTAATACAATAGTAACCAGAGACTATTACAGCAGCTACCACAATACACAGTAAAGGTAGAGAGCTACAATAATATGGTGGGAGTTGTACAGCAACCGCAAAATCATTTCTAGTGAGCAGTGGCGATTTTAGCATGTAAATTGGTGGGGCAAACTCAAAAAATAATTTTGGGATGCATGCCAGCAAAGCCACTACACAACACAACAATACATTAATTGCACTATAACGATGACAAACGGTGCCCTCAAACTGTTAGGCCTACATAAAGCTGTCCCAACACCTTACCACTGCTATACCTGGCTATCAGCGGAGCCTTGTCTGGCAGCGAAACAGTTCATTCAGCCTCATTTACTGCCTTTTAAAAAAACATTGCTGATATGGCTGACTTGCTTAAACAAATGTGGTTTTTACTGACAATTGAGATGTACAAACTATGGCATAAAGGGACAAGGAGGTGATAAGAGGCAATCCGTGATTTCGATTAAGACATTAATGAGTGAGCTAGGATGGACATAGTCAATATAACTATTTGTTCATCACTTTGTATTTGTATTTATTAAGGATCCCCATTAGCTGCTGCCAAGACAGCAGATACTCTTCCTGGGGTCCTGCAACATTAAGGCAGTTATATACAATTTATCATAACACTTTACCCAATACATTTAGTGTGTTCCCTCAGGCCACTACTCCACTATCACATATTTACAATACAACATCCATGTGTACGTGTGTGTAGGATGAGTGTCTATATGTATGTGTGTATGTACCTGTGTGTGTGTCTCTTCACAGTCCCCGCTGTTCCAGAAGGATGTTTGAAATGTACAGTGACAGAATTCAGAACATGGGCCATTCTTATATTATTCTCCCTGTATACCAAGTCAGAACCATAGGATAAATAAAGGGGGCATATAAGCAGTCAATGAAAGCTCTTATAATATTCGATGATTACATTTCTCTAAAACAGGCTATAGGCTACATGTGCAACACAAAGTCAGAACAGTAGGCTAAGTTATGAGGGGAAAAGGGACCAAATTATTAGGGTGAGGCACATGGGCTACTAACAGCTTACTACACAACATACACTTAGTATTACTTTCTTACCTACAGTATACATATCTCCCTGGCAGCAGCAATTAAGACATTTTTGAACTCATCTTGTTGTGCTGTGCTCACTTGAACAGGAAGGTGGTGCAGTGGTCCTTCATCTGCAAATTTTGTCATCAAACTTTGTCATCAAAGTCTGACATTCTCTGGATTTATGGTGCTTTCAAGACAACTGGGAACTCTGAAAAAAACTAAGTCGAATCATGACGTCAGTGATCTTCATGTTGGAGTTCTAGAAACGTGGAATTCCGAATTGGATGACCGTTCAAAGCGTTTTTCCCAGTCAAAGCTCTTTTTTTTCCAGAGCTCCCAGTTGTCTTGAACTCACTGAAGTCTGAGATTTCCCAGTTCCGAGTTTCCAGTTGTTTTGAACGCAGCAGAAGTCATGCTGGATTGACAGCATGGCCAATGTTGAATGTTTATCCTTTTAAGCTTGGAAAATAGACCCTTAAACCTAGACTTGGACCACACACCCACTCCACTGAATAGCAAGCTAGTGATTGCTTTGCAATGCTTGCAGTTAGCCTGATTCCTTCCAAACCCCTCATTGTTGAATTTGCGATTTCCAACTTGTGTAATGTTTATGTCCAATTGCCGATGAGCACCGATATGTTCTATCTATAATTTATCTTCATAATTTATTTTCATATGATAAGTATTGAAAAAGATTTGCCAGTAGATTGTCGACTTGATTCATGATGATGACTCCTAGCTTGCTAGCTAAGATTTTGAAAGTATGATGTTGACATGATCAGTCCAATCAAAGCTATGGTAGATATAACGTGATTTGACGTCATTTTAATTGTGGCCAATGACCTTGAGCCTTCTTGGATGGGCACTTCTTGAATTCTTTTTGTATTTCACCCCCTTTCTCTCCCTAATTTCATGATATTCAATTGCGATCCAATTACGATCTTGTCTTATCACTGCAACTCCCTAATGGGCTTGGGAGAGGCGAAGGTCGAGTCATGCATCCTCCGACCCACCAAACCGCGCTTCTTAACATCTGCCCGCTTAACCTGGAAGCCAGCTGCACCAATGTGTCAGAGGAAACACCGTTCAACTGACGACTGAAGTCAGCCTGCAGGTGCCCGGCCCACCACAAGGAGTCGCTAGAGCATGATGAGCCAAGTAAATCCCCCCGGCCAAACCCTCCCCTAACCCGGACGATGCTGGGCCAATTGTGCACCACTCTATGGGACTGCCGGTCACGGCCGGTTGTGACACAGCCTGGGACAAACCCGGGTCTGTAGTGATACCTCAAGCACTGCGATGCTGCGCCACTCGGGAGGTCCTTGGATGGGCACTTGTAATGTAACTCTATGGCAGCACCCAAGGGGCTTGCATTTTGGAGCTCTACCCGTAGATTTTGCGGTAACGTAGTGTCCCCATGAGTGACAGAACACTGAGCGAATCACGGTGCACCTAGAGAACATTACCAACCCCTACGCTCCGTATTTTCCACTGGCTGCCCCACCACCACAGAAAGCACTGAGCTAGGCTGAAACACCTGCATTTAGGCGCTGCCTTACTCAAGAAAGCAAAAAAGAGACCATGTTTGTATGCGGCTTTATTAACTGAATGATAAATTGTTTTACATTGTTTGCAAACTGATACGTGACATGTATTAATGCCAAAATAACATGCAAAACAGGCAACAACAAAAATTCTGCCCCACCTGCCCTTAATGACGGGTCGCCACTGCTGGTGAGCCTAGGTACTACCACAGGGCTGGAGCAGGAGAGATACCATGTTTAAAGGGCTTATTTATGTGAAACACGCACGAATGGCTGTCTTTTGGTAAACCAAGCTGACGACTCACAGTGGCATCTAGGTTGAGTTTGTAAGCTAGCTAGCTTATACCGTGCTAGTAATAGCAGGAGAGAGGGATGCCTGGGGAGGCAGTCTGAATCTCACGTAGTATAGCTGGCTAGGCTAACAACCTTCCTAGACGGTGTGTGCGCTATGAGAGGCGGTTATAGGGAAAGTGACTCGTTCGAGTTTTAAATAGTCGAAGGAAGACTAGTGCCAGGTGCACGGCAGTGGAGGATATCTTGACAAAGTTAGCACTGAAGTATGGTGGCCAACACACACTAGCTGGTGGGATAAGTCAGCACAAGACAAGGAAGCCCGATATCCTCAGATAAAAAGGATGGGTAGGAGAGAGCTGTCACACAGCCTTGGAGGGCGAATTTCGCGCTCTGACCCACAGGTCACAGGCTGTTGGTGACAGACTGACAATATACACAACTCACACAGAGTTCAGTTTACCCTAGAGTTTAGTTTACCCTACCTGGGAAGATGCAATCAGAGAAACGGAGCAATCAACTTGCCCGATACCGATACGGCAAAGCTAACTTTGCAAGAAGAAATAACTGGCGGTGACTTTGTTGTTATTATTACTCGACCTGCACTGAGCGCAAGTGATATAATCTGAAAGGTATGAAGTAGAATCATTACATTGACCAGATACTCAAGGGGCCGCTCTAACAATTAAAATAAATGTCTTAAAAAATGGAGGTCAGTCGGGAGGAGGCAAGATCAGGTGGGACCATTCTAGCCAAGGAGAGGGCAGATATGCCTGTGAGGAACAGGCACAACTCCAATATAAAGTATTTTTTCTCAAAGTTGCCGGGATGTCACGTGTCCTACTTATGTCAGTACACTCGTAACAAACTAAGCATTACGAAACTTCTATTTGATCAAAATTAGCCAGACCTTCATACAAAAGCTCCTCGCTTGGTGAGCGAAAAAAACACCATCTGCTGGAGAAGACAGATTCTGGGCTGATTTATCCCTCTCGCTTCGCTTCTTCCTCTCTGGTCTGGATCAGAGTACCACCCCGACACATTATTTTTTTCTTCTTTTTTTGTACTTTTCCCCCCAATTTCATGATATCCAATTGGTAGTTACAGTCTTGTCACATCGCTGCAACTCCCGTACGGACTCTGGAGAGGCGAAGGTCGAGAGCCATGTGTCCTCCGAAACACGACCCTGCCAAGCCGCACTGCTAGCTTAACCCGGAAGCCAGCCGTACCAATGTGTTGGAGGAAACACCGTACAGCTGGTGACCGAAGTCAGCGTGCATGCACCCGGCCCGCCACAAGGAGTCGCTAGAGCGTGATGGGACAAGGACATCCCGGCCGGCCAAACCCTCCCCTAACCCGGACGATGCTCGGCCAATTGTGCGCCGCCTCATGGGTCTCGCGGTCACGGCCAGCTGCGACAAAGCCCAGGATCGAACTCAGGTCTGTAGTGACGCCTCTAGCTCTGCAATGCAGTGCCTTAGACCGCTGCGCCACTCGGGAGGCCCTCGCAAACACATTCTAACCATTCTGATTGGTCCCAGAAACCGATGGGTTGGGCCAGAGCCAGAACACACGTGGGTAAAGCGGTGTTTTGAAAATTCGTCATTGCTTTGATACTCTGATTGGTTAGAGATTATGTAATGGCTGATTACTTACTGTTTTGTACAACACCCCTCATTTCAACATTACTACAAACAACTTCAATGGATGGCAGTCTCAGACTGAATTATGTACTGAACATAGGCGGGAATTCCGACCCGAGTTAAGCATGCGTAAATGGAACATCATTCTGTTTTTATGCACTTTTCTCTCTGTGTATTCTGACCTTGAACATAAGCATGAGAATAGCATGCTATTCATCAGCTATTTGTTTGGGGTGGAGATTGAAAAAATGAAGGTGTGGCGGAGATGTGTCTACAGATACACCATATTCTGACCTTGACTTAATTCCCTAATAATTCCACCACCTTTACACGCGAGGAAACCATGAATAAGGTCTAGCGAGTCTACCGGTTCCCAGTGGGAAAAGCATCGACTTAATCTTTTCCGCTAGAAATAACACCATTCTCCATAAGAGCTAGGTAAATTAGTAATCTGTTTGGATAAGGGAATTGTAAATATAAATTACACTTATTTTAGATCAATTTCACCTTATAATCGCTGGAGACAAATGTGAAACCAGCCATATAGCAGCAAACTGATGCATACTGTATCAACATATAAACTTTCCCAAAGTAAAATTTATGAAATGCTGTGCCATTATGCAGAATTTCATTTGTACTGTCTTTGAACTTGCAGGGATGGGCACTTTCCAATCTCTTAATTATAGGCTACCCGGACTTTCTCTGTTTCCTATGATGTTATATGTATTAGCCATTATCAACCATCAGTAGGCCTAATAACCACACATATTCAACTGCCAATTTACTGTTTGTTTTTTTGTCATTTAGCAGATGCTCTTATCCAGAGCGACTTACAGTTAGTGAGTGCATACATTTTTATACTGGTCCCCCGTGGGAATCGAACCCACAACCCTGGCGTTGCAAGCGCCATGCTCTACCAACTGAGCTACACAGAACTACTACTACTGTTAGTTCCCTTCAGTTGGTATAGCCCACATTATCATTCCATTTAATTCAATTTACCTTCATTTGCTTCTGCTGTAAACGCTGTCACCGCCGTGTGGTTGTTGTTGAGGATCATTAGTAACAGTTGATAATATTTTAAGGCTAATTAAATAGTTATGGAGCGGAGTGCAGACCAAGTTGCAACAGTTTGAACCCGACACATGGCGCAATACTTGGTTGTTTCATCACACAGTTCCATGGTTAGTGCAGGCAATAGATGAGGGTATAGCCTACTATTGTAAACTATTATCCCTATTATAATTCTATGTACACTAATCTTCCAACATTACCATGGGTTGAATAACTGAATGTGGCAATTTTCAGAATGAATCAAACCACTGTATTATTTTATTCATCAATATATTCGGTGCATAAAGGCTCTCCAAACCATTTTTTTATGATTCATAAAGACTTTCCCTAAATCATTAAATCATTCAAATCTACCAATTGGTGCTGAAACGGAGACAAATTTGCATATATTTAGACAGCTTTCTTTCATTGACCCCTACTATATTCTGAACCCGTTCTCTCGATATATTCTAGTGAGTCTGTCCGAAACGAACTAAAAATGTACACCGTATTTAAAGGGATGGCTTAAGACAAATGTACTGAAAACTCTATTGAATTAAAACTCCAGGAGAAATCTGTTGGCCCTAATCAATGGATTTCACATGACTGGGCAGGGGTGCAGCCACGGGTGGCCCTGGGTGGGCATAGGCCCATCCACTTGGGAGCCAGGTCCACCCACTGGGGAGCCAGGCCCAGCCAATCAGAATTAGTTTTCCGCCACAAAAGGGCTTTATTACAGACAGAAATACTCCCCTCCCCTCCTCAGATGATCCCGCAGTTGAAGAAGCCGGATGTGAAGGTCCTGGGCTGGCGTGGTTACTTATGGTCTGCAGTTGTGAGGCCAGTTGGATGTACTGCCAAATTCTCTAAAACGACATTGGAGGCAGCTCCAATGTACATTAAATTCTCTGGCAACAGCTCTGTTGGACATCTCTGCAGTCAGCATGCCAATTGCACGCTCCCTCAAAACTTGAGACATCTATGGCATTGTGTTGTGTGACAAAACTGCACATTTTAGAGTGGCCTTTTATTGTCCCCAGCACAATGTGCACCTGTGTAATGATCATGCTGTTTAATCAACTTCTTGATATGCCACACCTGTCAGGTGGATGGATTATCATGGCAAAAGAGAAATGCTCACTAACAGGGATGTAAAGAAATGTGTGCACAAAATTTGAGAGAAATAAGCTTTTTGTTCGTATGGAACATTTCTGGGATCATTTATTTCAGCTCATGAAAAATGGGGCCAACACTTTACGTGTTCCGTTTATATTTTTGTTCAGTATAGTTACAATATCATTTAGTTTAGTTGTAGTTTAGACGGGCCATCATCAGCTGCGCAAGCAGCGGCATGGGGAAAAAATTACAACATTTAGAAATGGCAGAGTAATTAAAAAAGTAAATTCATTTTGAGTCAATATGACGCTCTCGGCTCTCCTAGTGTTATGGTTACATTTGTGGCCGCCTAGCCTACTATCTCCTGGTTGTTGAGCCAGTGATCTGAGAGGCTGACAAGCCTATTGTTTCAAATGTCAAGTTTGAATGTCACGTGTACAAGTACAGTGAAATGCTTTTCTTGCAACTCCAAACCTAACAATGCAGTAATCAATATCAATGTAGCACTAAAAATAACATAAGGTAAAACAAAAACACGTGAAATAAAAATAAGAAATAAGAAGAACATGAGAAAGTAAGAAGCTATATACAGGGTCATTTACAATGTGCAGGGATACTGGAGTGGTAGAGGTAGATATGTATAGGGGAAAGGTGACCAGGTATCAGGATATATGAGAAATAGAGTATCAGCAGAGTAAATTATGATTGTATGTGAGTGTGTGTGCGTGTGTGTAGAGTCAGTATAAATGTCTGTGCATGTTATCTGCTGATCTGCGCATGCTCTGAGAACACGCCCTGGAATACCATCTGTCCCCGCGGCCTTGCAAGTGTTGACCTGAATAAAGATCTTACTGACGTCGGCCTCGGAGAGCCAGATCACCCAGTCCTCTGGGTCAGTGTGGGCCCTCACGCACGGTACAGTTTTGTTATTATCAAAGCGTGCAGAAAATATATTGAGTTTGTCTGGAAGAGAGGCATTGTTGGGCAGATCATGGCTGGGTCTTCCTTTGTAATCAGTAATGGACTGTAGCCCCTGCCATATGCGGCGGGCGGCGGAACCTGTGTAAATTGATTCCACCTTATTCCTATTTTGTCCTTTTGCTCGTTTGATGACTGCGGAGGTCGTTCTCAGCTGTTGCCTCAGCGTTGTCTGCGATAGCCCTGTGTGCGGTAGTCCTTTAGCTTAGCGCCGCCGCCAACCTCAGTGTTATTCCAGGGCTTTTGATTGGGGAAGTGGCGAACCTTCACTGTTGGGACAACATTGCCGATGCATTTCCTAATGAAGCCTGTGACGGAGGTGGTTAACTCGTCGATGTTATCGGCGGAGTCAGCGCTAGCAAAGTAGTCCTGTATTGTGATTAATACTGTCATATCAGGGCATTATGTTCTAGTCTCATAGTCTATTGATTAAGATACACTAACTGTAGAAAACATTAGGAACACCTGCTCTTTCCATGACATAGAATGACCAGGTGAAAGCTATGATCCCTTATTGATGTCACCTGTTAAATCCACTTCAATCAGTGTAGATGAAGGGGAGGAGGTTAAATGACGATTTTTAAGCCTTGAGGCAATTGAGACATGGATTGTGTATGTGTGCCATTCTTAGTGTGAATGGGCAAGACGAAAGATTTAAGTGCCTTTGAACAGGGTATGGTAGTAGGTGCCAGGCGCACCGGTTTGAGTGTCAAGAACTGCAACGCTGTTGGGTTTTTCACGCTTAACAGTTTCCCATGTGCATCAAAAATGATCCAGCACTCAAATGACATCCAGCCACCTTGACACAACTGTGGGAAGCATTGGAGTCAACATGGGCCAGCATCCCTGTGGAACACTTTCAACACCTTGTAGGCCATGCCTCGACGAATTGAGGCTGTTCTGAGGGTAAATGCGGGTGCAACTCAATATTAGGAAAGTGTTCCTAATGTTTTGTACACAGTGTATATTGGCCTATGGTTTATTATGTGTAGGTCTATGTGAGTCGCATGTTAAATGCATTAGTCATGGATTTACGTAGGCTTACAATACTATTTTGGTCTCTAATGTGAAATCACATTAGATGGTTTGTTGTGTGTGATCGATTACAGTACGGTATAGGGTAGGCTATGCTTTTTTGATAATGATAATTTGAGTGCCTAAATGTTGTCCCACCTAAATCTTTGCTGGCCCTGCCATCAACGGATTTCTGCCTACGCCACTGCTACATACCCTAAATGAGCCAAACTAGCAGAAGAAGGCCATCTTTGGTCTGGCTATGTTCTCAGTCTTCAGCTCCTCCACCTCTCTCTCACTGGCTGTCACTCTGGCTTTCAGGGCTGCGTTCTCTCTCTCCAGCTCCTCCACCTCTCTCTCACTGGCTGTCACTGGCTTTCAGGGCTGCGTTCTTTCTCTCCAGCTCCTCCACCTCTCTCTCACTGACTGTCACTGGCTTTCAGGGCTGCGTTCTCTCTCTCCAGCTCCTCCACCTCTCTCTCACTGGCTGTCACTCTGGCTTTCAGGGCTGCGTTCTCTCTCTCCAGCTCCTCCACCTCTCTCTCACTGGCTGTCACTCTGGCTTTCAGGGCTGTGTTCTCTCTCTCCAGCTCCTCCACCTCTCTCTCACTGGCTGTCACTCTGGCTTTCAGGGCTGCATTCTCTCTCTCCAGCTCATCCACTTTGTTCTTTTGGAGCTGCAGTTCAATCTTAGTGATGCTCACTTCCTTTTTCTGCTCCTCCTTCTCACTGGCTGTCACTCTGGCCCCCATGCCTGATAATTCAGCTGTATTCTCGGTCTTCAGCTCCTCCATCTCCTTCTTGGTCAGCCTAAGCTCAAACCATTGCTCATCTGCCTGGTCAAACCGTTGCTCGTCGCTGTCTTTCAGTCTGGCCACCATGTTGCTCAGCTCTATTTTCTGTTCCACCACCATGTCTCTAAGTTCTTTCAGCTCAGTCCAAATGTCAGGGGTGGTAGTGGTCTGGCCGCTCATCTGTTTGTGGGGTCGTCTCTGTAGCTTCATTCCCTTGGCGCTCCATCAAACTCTCTCTGACCCCTCCACTCTCTTCCTGAGTCCATGCCCCAGACAGACAGAATAGCAACACTAGCAGAGCCACAGTACCCTTCATTCTAAAATGACACCTCTTCAGAAATAATGTGGTCTGAGGCTTAATCCCCTCCTTTATATACACTCTCAAGGTAGTGAGCCAACGTGTAAGAATGTAACATATTTCTGACATATCCTGTAAGGTATTCAAATAAAGTGAAACACTGGGTGAGCTGCAGACCTCATAGCAGATCATTTGAATCTGACGCTGCAAAAAGCTGTGGAAGAACTCAACCTTTTATTTGTTTGATGTTCTCTCTTTATCTCTATAAAGCCTCTACATGTTAGCTCTGGGCTTAGTGCAGTGTGAACACAGCTTTTGTGGATCAGACAAATCAACATTTTCAAAATACTGTCTTGAGTGAGGTTTATAAACCTAACACTTTTATTCTTAGATTTATAATCTCTCTAAATTGAAAAACTAGACGTCATAAAAAATATATTGCTGAATGTAGAAATATACTTACATTGATAGCAAAGTGTTGACTGTCTCCCCAGCCTCCATACAGTGGAACCACAGCTACACCCCTTGTTCTGATGTAGTACTGCTACTAATATATTGGTCAACTCAGTGTAATTCCCAACCATGCTCACTAGATGGCCCCAAGAAAAATAAATCTAACCAATATCAAGAGCTTGCCATTTCAAAAGCAGGATTTGTTACCATTAAGCTGTATTGCAAACCTGAAGCTTGTAGGTAAAAAGTCCATAAGCTTATCAATAATTCACCATAATATTAATGAATGTATCTTAACAGTAGGAACATTGTCTGTATTTATGTAAACTCTAACCATTTTGGATCATGACAGACTGGGAATGCTTCATTCTTTAAATCATAAGTCATATCCCAATTATTAAAATACAGTCAATTGGCATGGCTCCTGCACAGGACAAATGAAGATTGTATAATGACAACAAGTCTAGTATTGTAAGTGACTTATGTGACACTCAAGGAGAACTGTCACAATGAGGCTTGTACAGCATTATGTTACAGTATTTTATACAAATGGTGGGTCTAATCCTGAATGCTGATTGGTTAAAAGCGCATTCCAACCAGTGTCTATTCCACAAGTTACCACCGGCTAAATCTATGACATTAAAATGCCTATTTACTCCGTTCCATCTGACTGTGCAATCCACTGTATCATCAGCCCAGCCAGACAATTTATAAACTTGATCTCCACTATAAAAAGCATCTAGACATTATCTCACATTTCTTTTAGACTAACATTTAGTTTTCAACAGTGGAGATTTGTATAAACCTTGCTGTCTGTCTCTCCGACATTTGCAACATTGTTTCAATATTCAAATTCAATCACCAGCTGTCCCATAGCAATGAACGTGTCGGGAGTCGGGATGAGACAGACAGGCAAACAGCTTTACTCAGCCAGTCGAAATCATGAATCAGCATAACCTTTATGGATATACTGTATACACAGAACTATCAATAGAAAACAGGTCAAACGAAACGAAATGCAGCTAGTTTGCTGTCTTTCCAGCTTCCGTTTGAAGTGATTGTGTTAGTTGTGTTGATGGCTAGCTCCTCTGAACAACAGTGTCCTGACAAGAGAGCACATTTTCTGTGCCAGGCGAAATCATGCATCATTAGCTCATTGTTATGGATGTATCCAAATAAATGTCACTAGAAAACAGATTAAACAAACGCAAATGCAGCTACTTTGCTGTTATTCTGTCTGCACTTTTTTTTTACATAAGTTAGCTGTAGTTGGCTAGCTAGTAAGCAAGGGATAAGAATGTTGCCAGCCAGTATGGCAATGGAACATTTAGAACAAACGACTGGGTCGTGTCCATAGATACAGAACAAAAAGACTGAACGACTGGGTCGCGTCTCTGGCAACCGAACCGATAGAACGAACGACCAGCCGGCTTGGGTAGCAACCCTAGATTTGTGTCGGGACTATATCTTGTGGAAGGATGAAATAGTATGAATACATTAATCAAAATAATGTTTTTAATGAAAGTATGTCAGTCAATATTTGAGTATGTTGGTAACCCTTTGTATTAAAGTGATAATGCCCTCGAAGCCGGTGTTTGAAGGATATATTGGCACAGTTTTCCGGCCCTCGACTTTCTTCTTGGGCCTAACAACACCCGTGGCAATATATCCTCCAAACACCGGCTTCTCTGGCATTATCACTTAAATATCCCAGAGGGGCTCTGGGGACAGAGAATAACCATTTTCCCCAGCTAGTTTCCATTTAGTCACAAATACCCAGAGGTAGCTACAAACACTGACTATGACTGCTTAATGCTGTAGCCTCTTTTATATTAGTATTGCTAGTTGCCAAGATTATAGCGAATGGGTGAATTCCCAAGAGCATGGTTAGGCTATGTATGCATCCTCCATCTGTCTACTTGGGAGAATCTCATGTTTGAATGACTTTATTTTCCTGATGGCACTTTAGGAAATGATGACTTGTGGGCAATACAAAGTAATTACATTTCCTGTGCCTTGGCCCAGATGAGATTCAGCATTAATAATGAATTGAGAGTTGGAGGCTCTCTCTCTCATACAGCAGATGTGCTTCCTTGGCACAGTAGTCGTACAGGGAATAACAACTTGGTTTTATTGACAATGGCTGCCCAGGGCTACCAGGGATAGGTTGAAGAGTATATACTGTATATCAGTTGAAGATACACAGCAAGAAGTTGGGGTATGTAGAATATTTGTCATAGATTCACAACAGAGCTTAGAATATATTTGTTGAGTGACATTTTTTACAACCAGGAAATTATGGATGCTTGATGAACGATGGTTAACATCTTACCTAAGATATAACCTGAAATGCATTTATTGCAATTGCACTAAACTAAATTGTTTGTTATTCAATAATAATTTCCCCCCAACTCAAGGATGCCACTATGTTGGGAAGAGCTGGAGCAAGTTTACATTTTGTACGTTTATTTGTCACGTGCACAGGATATAGCAGGTGTAAAACAGTACAGTGACATGGTTACTTGCAAGCTCTTTCCCAACAGTAATTATTTCAGAGTTGTATATGCTCAATTTAGTGTTGATATTTAACTCTGCGTCATTGTTTACTCTGTGCAGAATTATTGAAAGAAATAACTGTTACTTTTTTAACTCTGCAGTGTTGTTCAGTATTTTAGAGTTAGTTATTTAGAGTAATGTTTACTCTCAAAATATAATCACAATAGTTAATTCAACTCCTATGGAGTGAAACAACACTATTTGGGGGTTTACATGGTCCCATTTGAGGTGTAAAGTCTCATTTAAATATATCTTACTGTGTCATATTGGTGTCTTGCAATGTGACATCCAATCTTTATCGGTATCCATTTAAGAGGAAGGATGTCCAGCAATTTTACATTGCCCACAACAGACATTTATAATGCATGTCAGTGCAGAGATCATGGTACTATTGTTAGAGACTACCTAGATCATGTAAACTGGAACAGCCTTCTCAGTAACGGTTGCAATAAATCCAACCAAATACAGATTAGATTAGTTTAGAAAAATGTATGCTACATATCATTGTGTAGTATCAGATCAAAAACAATCAATGTACATGTGATATTGAATATTGAAACAAACAATTCTAGAAATCAACCTGAAACAGAGCATGCTGGGAAATATGACAATGACACCCCTCCCACATCTGTGGCTACGCCATAGTTTTAACTAACTGTCACTGTTTACTCTTATGGAGTTAAAAGTACTCATTCCCAAACAACACTAACTCCAGGCAGCGTATCACTCTGTTGAGGGTTAATATAACTCCAGAGTCATTTTAACTGTAATTTTTTTAAATCTGTGATTTCAACTCTCCTTAATTTACTGTGTGGCTGTTGAAAAAAAGAAAATGATTCTATTAATGTCCATATGGCATACAGTTGTTTGGATTTTTTGGAACTCCTACTGTATACAGTGTTTATCCAGCTTTGGGAGAAAAAATATATTTTCTGGCACAGCTCTCAGTAAACTAAAGTGTTCTGTTTCAAATTGTAATTGCTCCCATGGAGGAGAAAGAGCCAAGAGGAATCAACAAATATGTGCAACACAAAGCATCTGTGGTGGTCTATGAAAATAAACAGAGTCAACAACAGATGCCTGTCAGAGCCAAGCACTCCACTTCTCCACTCAATGATGAGTGGAGAAGTGACACGCTCAATGTCAAGTGAGAAACTAACTTGGGTAACTAAAGTTTGAATGGATGGATGAACAATAAACAACACACAACAAATATCCTAAAGATCCAAGACTGAAATTAGTGTTGACTATAATGAAAATAGTTCCCTATAATTAGGATACATACACTAAAGCCTATAGGCTACATTTTTTGTTACAGTTAATAGTAGTACAATATATATATATTCAGTACCAGTCAAAAGTTTGGACACACCTACTCATTCAAGGATTTTTCTTTATTTTTACTATTTTCTACATTGTAGAATAATAGTGAAGACATCAAAACTATGAAATAACACATATGGAATAAAAGTGTTAAACAAATCAAAATATATTTTAGATTTTAGATTCTTCAAAGTAGCCACCCTTTGCCTTGATGACAGCTTTGCACACTCTTGGCATTCTCTCAACCAGCTTCATGAGGAATGCTTTTCCAACAGTCTTGAAGGAGTTCCCACATATGCTGAGCACTTGTTAGCTGCTTTTCCTTCACTCTGCGGTCCAACTAATCCCAAACCATCTCAATTGGGTTTAGGTCGGGTGATTGTGGAGGCCAGGTCATCTGATAAAGCACTCCATCACTCTCCTTCTTGGTCAAATAGCCCTTACACAGCCTGGAGGTGTGTTTTGGGTCATTGTTCTGTTGAAAAACAAA